ACAATAGGTATAGGTAATTGGTTTTTTTCAGATCAAAGTACGAGAACAAAACCAAACACAAAAATATAAATGAATCACAACAAACTAAAAGGCTTCTGCAGAGCAAAAGAAACAACAGAATGAAGACACGATATACAGAAGAGGAAAAAATCTTCGCCAATTATCCATCTGTCAAAGGGTTAATATTCAAAATTTATAAAGAAATAAAAAATGCTTTTATTTAAAAAAAGCAACCCAATTTAAAAATAGGCAGTTGATTTTTTTAAAAAAATGGCTAATAATATGTAAAAAATTCTTAATATTGCTAATTATCAAAGAAATGCAAGTTAGAATCTCAGTGACATACCATCTCACCCCAGGTAGAATAGCATTATAAAAAGTAAAAACTAAATGTTGTTAGGATGTGGAGAAAATGAACTTTCCTCCAGTTTGGAGGAATGTCACGCAGTACAACTATTCTGAAGAACAGTATAAAAATGTCTTACAAACCCTTGCTTGGGAGTGAGATCACAGGCCCTGGAAGGGAACATGATACCTATGTGTGTTCTGCACTATGCTTTGGACACCTGTATTCCTAACTAGATCAGGAGGTCTTTTTGTCCTTGGTAACAACAGCTGGCATGCTATCTAACATAAATTGAGGTGAATTTATGCTAGCTCAGTCGGTAGAGCATGAGACTCTTAATCTCAGGGTCGTGGGTTCGGGCCCCACGTTGGGCGCCAGATATAGATGTAACCAACCGTCTTATTAAATAAGAAACACAGAAACAATGCAAAAGAGAAAGCCGAGAGGTCAGAGCTCAGAGCTAAAATCTCACCCTTCCGCCTGCGGTGTCCCAGCTTCCCGAATGAGGCTTCTATTTCCTGTCTGTTCGTCTATTTAAAGTATTTTGTTCTGCCTTCTCATTGGTTGTAAACCCAAACACGTGACTGCCTCATCACTGTCTGAATGTACAGCCCCCTAGGTCTTAAAGGCATATGTCTCCAATGCTGGCTATATCCCTGAACACACAGATATCTATGGGATTAAAGGCGTGTACCACCACCGCCACACTCTTACTATGGCTCTAATAGCTCTGACCCCCAGGCAACTTTATTTATTAACATACAATCAAAATCACATTTCAGTACAATTAGATTACCACCACATTTATGTGATAAATGAATTGTTTAAAGGTTTTTCTATTGAAAGATGGAGACAGAAAATACACAGAAAGAGGAAGAGTGTGAACAAAGACTGTAGAAAGACCAGAAAAAAACAAAAACAAAAAAAAAAAAACAACAAGCTGTTCCTCCTGTCACTTAATTTAACAGATACCTAGAGTCCAAAAGGAGTGACAACTTTAAAACTTTAAACACAGACTGTGACTTGAGAGGCTTTGAATAGGTAGATTTTAAAAGTGTTAGATAAATGACGGCAACCGAGAGAATGACTTAAAGGCTAGTTAGAAGGCTTTTTCACCACGAGGCACAGAAACTTAATGTGAATTTCAAGCATCAGTGAAAGGGAAGACTAAGGGGGAGGGGTGGGCAAGACTGGAACTTCTCACAGAAGTCAAGAATAGGAAAACAACTCCAACAAGAATACCCTGAAGTCCGGACCATAGTTTCTCTTTATTTATCAACTTCTAAGGTATTACTGCCCACTCTGTACCTAGCTATTATCACAAAGACGAAGGACAAAAAGTGTTGCTGAGAATGAGGAAAAGGGGGGACTCTTAAATACTCTTTGTTGGTAGGAATATTAATTAGTACAGTATGTAAAATAGCATGGAAGCCTCTCAAAACTAAAAACTAGAGTGATCATTGGGTCCAGAACTACAACAACATCCAGGTACATAGCCTAAAGAACTGAAATCAATCCATCCAAGAGCTGTCTCTACTGATAGGTTTATTGCAGGATTATCCACAGGAGTTAAGATATGCAAGCCGGGTGGTGATGATGCACACCTTTAATCCCAGCACTCGGGAGGCAGAGCCAGGTGGATCTCCATGAGTTTGAGGCCAGCCAGAGCTACAGAATGAGTTCCAGGAAAGGCACAAAGCTACACAGAGAAACCCTGTCTCAAAAAACAAAAAAAAAAAAAAATATGCAAGCAAGGCAAATGCCCACCCCTGAACAAATGAAGGAAATAGCATACATTTGTACATGCAAGTATATATAGCGTACATATGTGTGTACACATGGTGTTCCCTCTCATATATATCTCATATGAGAGGGAACACCATGCTTAATGTCCTTAAAAGGAAGGAATGGAATAATTTGCAGTGTTGATACCTGGAGGACATTATGTTGAAAATGCAGGCACATATAGACAAATACTGTGTGATCACTACTACACTTAGACTCTAAACTAAACCAGCCTCATAGAAATGGAGTAGAAAGGTTGTGGGTATCAGAGGAGGAGAGGCTGGGACAGAAACATTTTTCAAAGGACACAATGTTTCAGTTAGGTTAGAAAAATACAATAAGCAATCTGCTGTACTGCATGGCAGTCATTAGACATTTCCAAATTGCTAAATAGATTTTTAACATTCTAAATAACAACTTATGAGGTGATGATAGATTTAAAAGGTGGTATATCATGAAGCAATAATATCTATTTCATCAGGTATCAGACAAACATACTGATGATGCATTTAACAGAATAAGGGAAACAGACTCCCAGGAAGGAGGTCATTTCTACTGGAGTAAGGTGTTGGGGGCATTTTTCAGCAGTCTTTCACAGCACCAGATGTAATAGGCAATGCTTAGGTAAAGAGTATAAGACCTAGGAGCCACTTCGAGAAGAGAAACGTGATAGAAAGAACTCAAGAATGGCCTTGTCTGCTTTCTGTCTCCTTCTGTCTTCCCTGCTGAGGAAAAGAATCTAAGTTTCCTCTAAAGCTAATAGAGGGACAGAGGAAAAAGAAAATCTGTTTTTAAGAAGTTCTTTAAAATTTATTCATTTGAAATGTGTGTGTGTGTGTGTGTGTGTGTGTGTGTGTGTGTGTGTGTGTGTGTGTGTGTGCATGCCACCTATGTGCAAGTGCCCAGAGAGGTCAGATAAGGGCATTGGATCCACAGGAGCTGGAATTACATGTCAGTGTGAATGCCCAACACAAGTGTTTTGAACCAAACACCAGTCCTCTGGAGAGCAGCAAGCACTTTTAATCACTGAACCATCTCTCCAGCCCTAAATACATTATTTATAGGAAAAAGATGCCTGCACAAGTGCACTGCTTAAATTTTTAATTAACTTGATATTTCTGCAATAAATTCATCAATTTCTACAACTGTTTCTGTAACAGGCTCTGAAGTTTGATTTGTTTGGTTTTTTTCCTTTCAGATTTTTCTTCACAACAGATTTATTACCAACAATTATCATATGAGGTTTTGTTCCGGCCATGTAGGAATATTTCTGCTTTAGGATCACACATATGATCACCCTGTAGAAGAATAAGACAAGTCACAAAAGTAAGAGTGAAATGGATGCATTCATGCCGATCTTTCAGTTGGAAAAAGACAGACACATCCAAGAGGATAGTTTTGGCAGCTTGTGTGAAGATTTCCCAAGAGCGTGCCTAAATGAGATGTTGAAATTCTTGCAACATGTAGTTTATCATTAAACATTAGGAGTGCATTTGAAAAACATAAAGTTACCATTTTAAAAAATGAAGACATGGGCAGGTCTTTAATTCTGTTGCAAGCACCCATGGAAAAATGGTCCAAATGTATTCTTTGAAAGAACTAATTATGAGAACATGACTGAAATGTTGAGTAGATTCTAAAATATATTCATAGTTTACTCTTGACATGAAAAGTACAAAAGTATACAACTGTGTTAACCATCATACTGATGTCTTTGTTCTTAGTGGTCTTGGTATTCTGGAACATCCATTCCCAAATAGTTTGTAGTTCAGAATAAAACTCTCTTTAGTGCTCCCAGAGGAAAGAGAAATTGTGAAGATTTGTCTTAGACATGAACTTGATCTTTACACAGAACACAGCTGGTGTGTGAGCAGGAAGCTGCCTCCCATGTGTCTTTACCACTGCTCCCAGACCCTGCTAATGTCTTCTGCTGTGTGGGGTTCCACCAGCTTTACATATAGAGTTCCTATTTAATCTTGCACCATTAACTTTTCCAACCAGCTAGACTCCATTTTCTGAACCTAACACTCATGCTCTTTCCATATGGTCGGTGATCCAACTGAGAATGTAACTGTTTTTTATGGTTTGAGATGTCAGTGGGCTCTGCCTGCATGGTTAATCTTTAGCTACTGAATTGATTGGTAAGGGTATTCACAGGCATTGAATTTTAATCTTCAAATGGATTATAGGTTTCAATGATTCTATGACTTCTTCAGACATTGTAAGCATGAAGAGTCAGGGAGAATGTGGCAATAACTAGAATAAAAGAAGTAACATTAATGCATGTGAACATGTGTTGGGTAAGCTCCTGGTAAGCTCCACACATGGCTTAATTTCACACCAAGCAAGTGGCAAAGGAATTGAGTTATGGGCACATTTCACAAATGAACAGTGAGCTTAGAGAGGAGGAGTAAATCCCTAAGGCTACACAGCAGGAAGAGCTGGGCAAGAATGTGGTTCCTGAACTTACTTAAAATATCTAGTCTGTGATATTCTAAAGTGATGCTTGTTTGTGTTAGACTTAAAGAGAGGAAGGGAGGGAGAAAAGGAGAAAAATAAAGGAAGAAACATAATCCTCCAATTTTCTATCAATACATAAAAATGGTAGGGAGTATCCAAAGACGATATATAGATATGTCTTTTCCTCTGTACAGAGGGGCAAGTGTGCCCCCGTTAGGACATTAAGTCGATTCAGTGGAAAAACTGCCATGGGAAAGGATCTTTATGCCCTGGTTTTTTTCACTGACAAAGTTAATGATTAAAATCTCCCAGACTCTCCTCCACATTTCCCCCGGGGTATCTATTTGCCTTGATGATGATATTATTTTCCTTCTTTGGGGACAAGGTTGACTGTCCCTTGCTTCTGTGTGGAGATTAATAATTGATGGGTTCCTATTTGTAAATGCAACTGGTAACTCTGTGCTCCTGTCCTCTGCATAGTGACCCGCAGATGAGAAGAGGTGCCGCAGGACTGCCTGGACACAACATGAAGAGGGTTTTAGTTCTCCTGCTGGCCATAGCACTCGGGCATGCTCTAGAGCGAGGTAAGATTCCCCTTGTGACTGAGAACTATTACTAGTTTAATGTTCTAGTGCCACTTTAAAAACTGACGAGGTAGTAACAAACAGACGAAATGGTGGATGATTTGGAAGACAAAATGAAAGAAGGACCAAGTGGGGTTGATCTGAGCTCAGCTTTGTCATATAGCATTGGAAAGAAATGCTCCCCACACCAGACGGAGCTGGGTGTGGTGCATGCTGTCAACCTCACCACGCAGGAGGTGGAAGCTGGAGGACAGAAGTTCAAGGCCTCCTGGTGAACTGGCTAAACAGGGAGTTCAAGGCCAGTCTGAGCTACCTGAGACTGTCTCAGAACAAACAGAAAGACTCATGAAAGAAGGTAGAGTTACCTTTTAGTTATCCCTCACACATTGGATGAATAAGATCTATAATGTAACTGGAGACTGATACACAACTAAGCATTTTTCCCCAAATGCTTATCCTCCTTGGCAGCACCACACTGACAGTGGTCCCAGGAGCCATCAGAGAGATCTCTTTGATCCTCATATAGGAATCTTACTCTTGGGCATTTGGAAGGAATTAAAGTTTTTAAAATACCTCTCACACAAAAGAAATTTTGGTAACTGTGTAATAGAATAATAAACAAAGTAACAGAGCTCGTTTCTTGTATAAATCTCCCTTAGAATGGTATGTTCACCTTTATGATATTTTAAGACTTCTGACAATGTTAGCAGACTACATGATGTATGCTACTTCATGAATTCTGCAGCTTGAAAACATTCCATAGAAGTTTCAATTTATTTTTCTGCAGACCTGTTAACCTTAGTTTAATCCTTCATTGCATAGTTCTGGTGTTTGAAAATTTATAAATTTATAAAGTTTCCTATGAGTAATCTTCTCCTCTGGCTTATTCTGTGATGCTTATAAGGGAATCTGCATACAGTCTACTTTGTCAAATTAAGGCTTTTGCTTAGGACTCTCCCTTAACAGACTCATCCAGGTCATCTGTTTATAGTCATAGTAGTAACATATTCAACCAGGGATGTATGCCTTCTCAGGAATCATCACTTACTAATTACGGCATGTATAAGCTCAGTCTTGACTTTATCTTATTCTTTTTGCATTCACATTTTTTATAAAGACTTATTTATTTTATGTGCATGGGTGTTTTGTCTGCACGTATGCCTGTGTAAAGGTGCCAGATTCCCTGGAACTGGAGTTACAGACTGTTGTGAGCTGCCATATGGGTGCTGGGAATTGAACCCAGGTCCTCTGGAAGAGCTGCCAATGCTCTTAACAACTTAGCCATCTCTCCAGCCCCTACATTCATATTTTTCCATGTTATTTTTGTTATCTTAATTATGTGAAATTCGTTTTTATTTATTCACAGATGCTTAAGTCAGATGTAAGTCCTTAGCTAAGACTATAAAAATCTTAGAAAAAGAGATATAAATGGATAAATGAGTTGTGTAGATGATGAATGCCCCAGAGAGCCCCGAAAGCATATTTGCAACAGAGTTTCTGGGGACACAGATAACCTGGAAAAATCCTCCTGACGCTAGTTCAGACTGAATCTCCAAAATCAAAAGTCCAGCAGTAGCTAGATCTTGGAGATGCGTGTGGAGACCACAAGTTGAGAGGCATCCTGCTGACTCGGCAGCTGGCGTCGGCTCTGCCTCCACTGCCAAAAGAGCATCCTCCCATCTCTATTGCAACATTCTCCCAGAGGAAACAAATGCCAAAAAAGTCAAATCAGTTCCCTCAAGGATCGCAGTAACTTCAGTTTTACAGCCTATGTCCTGTAGGCCAGACGATACCCAGAGCCATGTAAAATACATGTACAAGGAAAAGCCACTCAGCATTCATCCATAGTTCCCTTCGGTCACATCAAGTGTGGCATCCAGAGCCCTGCTAGGAAATGCTTCATTCATCTGTTCCCTGGTCAGTAACACCCAGGGCACCAACGGGAGCCATGCTATGACCCTTTGGAGGCTGAGCGTGCCCCCTGCTGGTTGGAAGGGGCAGAGCGCAGACTGAGGGAATGCAGCGTTTCCAACTCGCAGGCACAAGCAGGAGTTTGGGGGAGTGGCGGTAGTTCTCGAAGTCTGTCACCTTCGGAGAGACCTAACTGTTTCCTAGCACACTGTTCCAAACACCATGTACTCAAGACACATCTTGAAAGCTGTTCCTATGGCCTGACATATTTAAGAAACTAGCCATGTGTCACTCCGTGATTCACCATCAATGCCTTAACTGTCATCAAGGCTCTGATAGTCCACAAGAAACCCTATTCAAATCGGAGTTTTCTAAACACCCTGGATCTTTCCTGAGTGATGGTATCTTTGGAGCTGTCTTTTGGAATTTGGGTCTGAAACGATACCTGCTGCAGATGCCCTGTTCTTTTCTGTCAGAGGGCAATGGGGAACTGGACACATCTTGGGGGAAATGGACTTACCAAATCTGCCAAATCATGGTGATATCATAAGAAAACAGCCACCCACTTCTGCTGGCCCAAGACATGCAGAAGCAGTTCTTGCTGGCTGAACTATGTTCTTTCCCAAGAACTGAAGCAGAGCCAGCACTGAGCTGCCGCTGTCTTTCCCCCTACCCTTCCTACAGTAAGAGAACTGTTGACACAGCTCTGCAGTCCCTAAGATAATGATCATCAGCAGCAAACAACTGTGGACTTTAAAACTATTCTGTATACATATTTCTATTAAGTATAACACCAAACTGCAAAAAAACAGAAGTTCCCTTAGAGTTGGTAAATGAACTACATTTTCTCTTCTTCCTCTTCTTTACAAAAAGCTTGAAACAAGTTAGAAAAATAGCTGGTTACTGTCATCATCACAAGAAATATTAGCCCCCTCCCCCCGAAAATCAATAGCAATGTCACAGCTCACCGCTATAAAGCACAATGGCAGGTATGCAGTCACCATTATGTGCATGGTATAAGAATAAACATGCACGCCCTTTAAAAGACCATGGGTTCAATCTATGTAAGAAGATAAAGATGTCCCTCAAAATAACACATGAGGTTCCCATCCACTACCTGCTTCCATCTAATTGTATTACAGACTACTTTCATTCTACTCTTCAATCTATTCTTCTCCAGACACAGAGGCCTCAACCATTCCATGCTGTATTATCTCTGCACCCCAGAGCTCGTCACCAACTCTCCCATCTCCTTGGAACACTGACCCTGCACATATCCAGGGGGCTATGACAGCTTTCAGTTGTCTGAGTATCAACATCCACTTACAGTGAGGGTTTCCAACCAACCTCACTTCGTACCGACCACTCCCGACTTCCATCCACTCATCCTGATCCACCCTTCTTCTTACTGCTCCCTCCTTTGCCCTCTCTCCAGCTACTCATTTGTTTGTCATAACAAATGTGTCATATAATTATCAGCATGAAAGAGAGAACTGGAGTTTATTCCCCACTGTAATTCCCGGTTCAGAATAGTGATCCGTTCAATGAAGTTTTTTGTATAATACCGCAAAATTCAAGTACCAAGCTCAAATGTAGTTTTGATTATTACAGGAAAACTGAAAACCAGATTTTATGGTTCATGTCATAATCATGGAATTCCAGCACTATAGGTGAAAGGCTATGACAGGAGGAAAATCAAATGCTAATATGGAATTCATGTTTTAGAAGAAATAAGCTCTTCATGAGTGTCTACCATTGTTATCATGTTTATGATATAAGGTATCTTAAGACACATTAGACTAAGTTTTATGTTCTTTAAAAAAATGTCTCAAGACTTATTCTTCCAATCTAACTGAAACTTTGACCAACAACTCCATTCCCACCCCCACAGCCCCCAATAAACATCATTGCACTCTTCATTTCTATGAGTTTGACTCTTTACAGTCAATGGATAGAACCATGTTACTTTTTTTTCTGTTCTTAGCCATTTGTACTTAATATAATGATTTCAAGGATCAGGCACACTGCTAATTAATAGAATCTCCTTCTTTTGTAAGGCTGAGTAGGATTTAAAAGCACTGGATGCTCTTGCAAAGGACATGGGTTCAATTCCCAGCACCCGCATGGTGAATCACAACTATCTATAACTCCAGTTCTAGGTGATCCAATACCCTCTTCTGGCCTCCTCAGGTACCAGGCATGCACATGAGGACACATACATGCATTCATAGTAATGTATTGTGTATCAATAACACATTTTGTTTATCCACTCTTCCACTGGTTCACATAGGTTATTTTAATATCTTAATTCTTGTGATTATAATGCTGTTGCAATGAACATGGAAATTCAAAGATTCCATCAACATGATGACATTATTTCTGTTTATCTACCCAGAAGTAGTATTGCTGGATAATACAGTACTATAGTTGTATTTTCAGTTCTTTTAGGAATTGGTACACTGTTTTCCATATGGCTATTCTGAAGTGCATCCTCACTAACATTGTATGATGATTCCTTGTTCTCTGCATCCTTACACTATCCTTCTTTTTAATAATCACCACTCTAACAACAAGTGTGAAATGACATCTTGCTGTGGTTTTGATTTACGTTTCCCTGGTGTTTTATGATATTGAGAATGCTTCAAATACCTGTTGTAATACATATAGCTGCTAGAAATTGTTCATGTATCTATATTTCTTCTTTTATGAAATGTTTTCATTTTACTATTTTTAAATTTTATTGTTTGTTTCTTCATGTGATTTTCTTATATATTTCGGATAGTAAACTCATATGTAGCTTTAAATTTCTCTCACTCTGTGGGTTATCTCCTCATCTTGTTTCCTTTGAAGTCTTTAATATTTGGTGCATAGGGGAGCTGGAGAAATGGCTCAGGATTTAAAAGCACTGGATGCTCTTGCAGAGGACATGGGTTCAATTCCCAGCACCCGCATGGTGACTCACAACCATCTATAACTCCAGTTCTAGGTGATCCAATACCCTCTTCTGGCCTCCTCAGGTACCAGGCATGCACATGAGGACACATACATGCATTCATAGTCTCAGACACATAAAGATAAATGAATAAAAATAAAATACTTTTCATGTGTTCCTATTTCAACTGTTCAATTATTTTGCTTTTTATTGCCTGTTTTTTTTTTGAAGACATATAAAAAAAACATCATTGCTCAAACCATTATGATGTAAGTTTCTACTATGATTGCTTTTAGTAGTTAAATAGTGCTAAGTCTTTCATTTGATTATATTTAATTTATTTGAGTTATTTTCTGGATTATGAAGCATATCATGTGTAACTACCCAACAAAAGAAGATCATCACCACTTGCTATTTATGTCACCTCATTCAAGAAGTACAATACAGAAACACAACTTAGACATCCTCAATTGGATAATTTCTTAAAATTTCACAATGAATGCTTAATAAATTGGCTCTGTGAAATTACACATGTTGTGTACAAAACTGACCTGCACCCAGGAATTAGAAGTTTACATTCGTTTACTTAGTTTAGAAGTTCACTTAGAAGTTTATAATAGGAAAGTTCCCTTCCCAATAATATCTTTCATAGAAAATGGAAGTTCACTTAAAGGAAATATAATTAACATTGATCTCCTTTATAAGACTCACTCATAAATACCCAATGTCATTTCAAGTCCTTGTGTCTGCCGAGACCAAAGAAGTTCACTGAGAAATTCAGCCAACACTCTGTCCTTTCTGTTTTCCTATGTCAAACCCTCTAAGTTTGTCTTTTAAAATTAAAAGTGAGGATTGAGTATGAGAACTTTCGAAGACATGACTATCATAACTAGGACTTCAGAAAGGTATTTTAACAATGATTTTTTTAATAACATAAAAGAAAATGGTGCCAAATCTAAAAGTGATTCTCTAACTCACAGAAACAAATGCAACAAAACAGTTATGCTAATTAGCAAACATAATTTTCTCTAAAAATATCTCAAAGATGAAGTTCTAGGGGCTATAGAAATGGCTCAGCAGCTAACAGCACTCACTATTCTTGAAAAGAAGAGTTCATTTTCCAGAACTCATATTAGGCAACTCACAGCCACCTTTAACTTCAGTTCCAGTAGATGTGACACTCTCTTTCAGTAGAATCTGTGGGCACGCACAAGCACATACATATTCACATATATGCACGTGCGTAAGCGCACACACACACATACAGCATCACCATCATCATCATCATCAAATTTAGAGAAAAAAAATGTTTTTAAATGATGAAGTTCGCTGGGCGGTGGTGGCACACGCCTTTAATCTCAGCACTCAGGAGGCAGAGCCAGGTGGATCTCTGTGAGTTTGAGGCCAGCCTGGTCTACAGAGTGATATCCAGGACAGGCATGAACACTACCCAGAGAAACCCTGTCTCGAAAAAAATAAATAAATAAATAAATGATGAAGTTCTATCCATGCTGTACATACAGGGTAGTATAGATAACAATGATTGATCTGTGATAAACTACACATTTTACTACATTTCTATAAACATTAAAGGGTATGCTATGCATCAAGTATTTACTACACTGCTACTCAAATCATTGGTACTCATAATTTAGCTATTATTATGATGTTAATTATCTTTGTTTGAATTGACATTCATAGAGTACAAATTTAAAGGTTAACAAAATTGGGCATCATGAAAACAGAAAAAACTGCTCCATGAGATAGCCTATAGCATTCTGTAAAATACTGACTCAAGTCATTGTTAATCAAGATTCATTCTCTGCATGGGACAAAATCAGGCATTAGTGAAGGTCTTTATAATAGCAAAAGAACCCAAAGCATCTTTCTTTGTAGACTTCGTACCAAAGTCAGGAGGCTTTCATTGGCTCTTGCTATCAGAATAAAGAATCCATGGGGGTGAGGCTCCACTGGTTTCGGCCCCATCGCATCTCACATTCAGTGTGAATGCTGTGTCAGGCAGAGAGTGAATGTCACAGAACACATCTGTGGCACAGGTGAAGGAATGAATGAATACTGTCCTATTTGTTGTTGGAAGTGCTTGTAATATGCAAGAAGCAACACATTTTCCCAAAAGTAAGTACAACTCATTTTCAAAAGTCCAGGTTTTGATATGATTTACCAGAATATTTCACAATGTAGATTTAATTGGACATGCTGCTAAAAATCATTAATGAAATCTGTAAACATTAAGTACAAAGAGGTCACTTGGTGTGAACATGATTTCACAAGAGTCATTAACTTTATGCCAACAATTTCTGTCACCACACTGAAGTCTAAATCATTCTTTTTCTAAGTGATACATTAAAGAACAAAAATGTGATATTTATAATTCACTTACCATAAAAATTTAACTCACTTTAAATGAGTTTAATTAGTCTAAAAATACTTGTCAGACTGGAGAGATGGATCAGAAGTTAAGAACTCATACTGCTCTTGAAAGACACCCAAGCTCCATTCCCAGCAGCCACTTCTGGCTGTGAGAGAGAACACACAACTAACTGCCTTGAAGCTTCTGGCAATCCACATGCATGTAGTGCTCTCTCTCTCTCTCTCTCTCTCTCTCTCTCTCTCTCTCTCTCTCTCTCTCTCTTTCTCTGCCATGCATTCATGCACACAACCATGCAAATAGTAAAATAAATTTAATTTTTTTCATAAAGTATTCCATTGGTATGAGAAATCAATCTGCAATAATTACATTACAAACCAATTTCAGCAATTTACTGCTTGTGTGTGTGTGTGTGTGTGTGTGTGTGTGTGTGTGTGCGCGCGCACACACACAATAAGGAAAGGATTAACATATCTAACTATCCTCAATAGATATTGTTTCCTGTATAAGTTAATTTTTCCAAAAATACATCCAAGGCCATACATCTGAAAGATCATGGTAATGCTTCCCTCTGTGGGTTATTTCTTTAAGATTATACTTTGTACTTTAATGCAATGCCAGTGCCACCCGTTGAGACTTCATTTGTGTCCTCTCCCACCCAAGGCTAAATGATCCAGCAAAGACAGTTCCAAAATGACTTTAATTCTCACAGTCCAATTTCCCACTTTTCTCTCAGCAGTGTTCTCCGTAACTAAAGTACTATGCAATTCCTATGAGATACAAAACACTTGAGTGTGAACAGGCATGTTCTGATTTACTCAAAACTCCTGGACAGGTTAACATGTAATGCTTATTCACAGCATCCTTCTCATTCATACTGCATTTCGGTAACATGTGAAATGAAACTCAGCGTGTTTCGGGAAATGAGACTTCTGAAACTGAAAAGCTAGAAACAAAATAGTTCTCAAACTATTCATCCGTAGTACCCCACTTTCATACGGAATTCACTTTGCCCACTACTGGATGGTCACAATAAAAGTTCCAACACAAATAAAACTAGTTTGATAGAAGGAGCTTCTTAAAACAGTTACTTGGTGTGCATTAAAAAGGTAAGACTTTTTTTTAACAGAGCTATTTTTATGACTTTTGAATACTAGAGGTTTAAGGAAAAGATTCCAAACTTAACAAAATGAAGATGACTCCAGGCCCCCTTGCTCTCTCATTTGGTCTGCATCAGATCTGAGGACCACGGGTTCCTCCCCACAGCTATCTTCTTTCCTCCCTAGGCTACTTTACCTGGCCCATTACATTTCGATTTCTGGAGATGAATCAGATCCCTGTCCACTGTATCTCAAACTCTAAGGAAAACCTAACAAGGACTAGTGGTTATAAAACTGTTTTTACTATGCCCAAAGGATGAGAAACTACTCCACACTGTTCCTTAGACTCTCGATTTCCTACCTGAAGTCCTTAGAGCCTGGCGTGGTCCCAGTCAGGCAGCAGATGTTGCAAGCACTGGCCTCTTCCAAGTTCAGGCCTCACACAACTGGAAACGCACCTTGGAGGGGAAAAGCCTCTCCATTTCCTTTTGTTCTTTGACTTGTTGAGGCCATAAGACAATAAAAGGGAAGGAGAGAAAAAAGAAGGAGAAAGAAAGTGGGGAGGAAGAGAAAGAAGGAAGAGAGGGAAATGGAGAGATTGAAAGAAATAATCCCCTTCAGCATTTTATCCGGACTGAGGAGAATGGTTTTCTCGTTAGTGATTCTAACTCACTAACTGATGTGTAACATTTGACTTATCCTTAGCATGACTTTGGCCTTTCTACCTTTTTTCTTGCTACACAGTAAAAGTTAATACAAAGAAATCATAAAATTGAGGCTTATTGTGAGAACGTACCTCCAAATAAAACTGTGCACAGATATTAAGAAATGCCTTTACCATGGATCATGTTGGAGAGCATTTTACACATATCTATTTAGTGTAATATTCATTAAAAGGAAAGAAAACCTCACCTATTTTCTCTATCTGCTTTCTAGGCCGAGACTATGAAAAGGACAAAGTTTGCAATGAACTCGCCATGCTGGGGAAAGATGACTTCAGATCTTTGTAAGTTGCAGTGTCCATGCATTTCTCCTGGGTACTTGACCATGAACCAAAGTGAGCACAAGCTAACTTCCACAGTCTGGAAGGCCGAACTGCTCTCTGAGATGAGGAAAGAGCCCGGGCCACTGTGGGCCAACAGGTCAGACAGACGGAGATCAGCCAGAGAAGCCAGCTGAACTACAGTTACTGTGGTCAAAGACACTACCACTGGCCAATTAATGAATGAGTTTGTAATAGAGAGTAGATACAGGTTTCTGAGGTAAATTAGAACTGTCCATTTTTGGACTCTGGAAAACACAAACAATGACCTACATAGTACATTCTTTGGGGTAAGCTCAAAACAGACTGCAGGCTGTTTTGATGGGAACTACAAATCCAGTTAGTATATACAAGATAAATTTCCTGGAGCAAATGTCCGACATGTAACTTCATATTATCACCAGTAGTCAAATAAAAAAGTTAATGTATGAAATATTTCATTTAAAAGTTGAATAGATACCCTGTTTGGCATGAGTCAAAATGCCACAAAAAAAACCATTCAACTCCAATTAATATATTCACTTCCCCCCTCAGGTCACTCATCCTATACAGCAGGAAATTTCCCAGTGGCACCTTTGAACAGGTCAGCCAGCTGGTGAGGGAAGTTGTTGCCTTAACTGAGGAGTGTTGTGCGGAGGGTGCTGACCCCAACTGCTATGACACCAGGGTAAGTGTGGGTCTGACCATCTCTACCATGGCCCAGAGAAAGGAACGGCCAGAGACCTTCCTGTCACCTGTGCAGGACACTCTAGATGCCCAGCCACCTACTCACAGTCACAAGGAAAAACAAAGGATATTACTTTTAGCCCCCACGTTTATTCTAGTACTCAGTTCCTTTCCCTCATTGTTGCTAAAAGTGTCAAAGATAACTTGGGTAAAGTAACATAATGACTTACTATACATACATACACTGCTAATGAGAAGTGTGTGTAGGATTTAAATGCAGGCCAGACTCTGAAAAAATCATTTTTAAATCATTATAAATCTGAACCTTTACAAAGAACTCATGAACCTTTTAAAATAATTTTAACACATGCTGTGTAGCTTAAAATCCTGTCTACATCTTTATTACTATGTTAAGGTTGGGATTAGTGGCCACAGAATAACTAAATGTTGGCCTCAAATTATTTGGGTCACTCAAATATTACTATGTACAGTTTGTATGTATATTAGGTTCTGAGTGTTAAAAAACCCACATATCATATCATATGTATGTGTGTGTTTTTCTCCCAATACAGAACTTATATAGAAATTGAAATTCTGAATGAAAAAAATTATAATTCAAAGTACAGACAGTAACTGATAAAGGTGGAAAAAGTAGACAAAACTTACTAATGCGGTTTTTTTTTAGCCCTTATACAAATGACGATAGGTGGATTTGGCTAACGGCCTCCACAGAAAGATCAATGTCTGCTCAACACCATTATTAGAACAGGTTCTATACAGTGGATATCCTTACCCATTGATTACTTTACTTGCCCCCCTTCAGCCTCTATTTTATGTCAATTCTTTCACCACCAAGTTCATCAATATTCATCATTTCAGCCTCACTCTGTACCACATCAGACTAGATATGCTCCAGACTGTTAACCACACTCAAAACAACAAAGTACATGTTCATTTCTTTTCCATTTCACCACATGGATCTGCTGCTGCCTGCCTTGCTGAGGTGTGAGATTGGAGCTTTAGGGAGAGGTGATGTGGGCAGATTGCACGCAACACCTTTATCCTGCTCATTCTAAGCATTTATTTATTATTTTGTCATGTGCTTATGTTTGTCTAACTTCTACTTTTATTGTGGGATAACTGAAAACAGGAAAACCCAGAGGAGGTTCTGGGGAAACTAATGAAAAGGAAAAGGAGATTGGTTGGAGAGAGATGATTTTCAAAGGCAGCTTAAGTCTTCATTTCTAGGAGTCATGGAAGGAAGGTATGCACAAGTAATGATGAGTTGGTTTGAACATCTCATTCAGCATGTCGCTTTCCTTCACTGTTAGGAAAGGTCCTGGGAAAAGGAACCTTAAAAGGACAATTAATATATATCAAATTACTTTTTCTTATATAAACACCAAAGTGACTTTTCCATGGTAATTTCTATTTCTTTTTCTCTATGTTCTGTTATACCAGTTTTTCAAGTATCAATTTACTTGCAATTTTCCCCCTACAATTGCTTTGGTGGCATTCCATCCTTCAGCATGAATGAGACTAGCAGAGCTGAGGCTGTAAATGACAGTAACCGCTGGTTTCCATCGCTTGCCAAGGATAAGACCTGAAACTTAGGGGAACACAGACTTTCAGTCCCTGTCTTCGACCTACTGTGCAAGTGTTGTATATGCTGGTTGAGTAATATCAAATCCTGCTGCAAAAATGACAGGAAACTGCAACATGCAGGAAGCTAAAGCCGACCCCGTCAAAGGTTGCTCATTTAGTAAAGGGGGGAGAAAAGGCCAAGGAGGTCCTCCTTGCTCTTGGTCTAACTGCAAAAAGCAGGTGGGAGATGAGCATCCCTACCAGAACTTTTCCAAGTGCTCCTCCCCTAGAGATGCTAAAGACCCTTCATCGAGAAACACCAGGCTATATAATAAAGGTCAAATGGCTGCAGCCCCATAAGCACAGTCCATTTATTAATGAAAATTGTTTCATTCTAATCTGGAAAGTGTCATTGATTACCATAAACAAGAGTCTACTTGCCTATAACCAAAATTATGCAACTTTACATGTTTGTGAGCCACGCTATGGAAATTTGATTACTAATTAAAATTTCACATTACAAATGATGTATTATACAGAATGGAGACTCACATACACTGTACAGATTTTTCCTGTTCCCCCTTCCTTCCCTCACTCCAGACCTCGGAGCTGTCTATCAAGTCCTGTGAAAGTGATGCCCCTTTTCCCGTACACCCTGGAACTCCTGAGTGTTGCGCCAAAGAGGGCCTGGAGCGGAAACTCTGCATGGCTGCCCTCAGTCACCAGCCACAAGAATTTCCCACCTATGTAGAACCAACAAATGATGAGATCTGTGAGGCATTCAGGAAAGATCCAAGGGGATTTGCTGATCAGTAAGTGATCTTCTTTGTAAGTCCATCTACAGCTCTTCTACACCAACTCAGATGCCTGCCACTGGGGAGGCAAAGGCAGGGTCATCACAGCACATGCCAGAACAGTCAGGGCTCATGGGAAGGCTTTCTCTCAAAAGCAGAGAGAAAGGAAGCAGGAAAGAAAGAAAGGAAGGAGGGAAGGAAGGAAAGAAAGGAAGGATGGAGGGAGGCAAGCAGGCTGGCAAGAATATGGGAAAAGACAACTCATGATAGTGAAAAAATAGTATCTTATATGCAAAGATTTAAAAAAAACAGTAATATTACATCATGGAAGTAAACCCACCCACTCCCCCAAACTCCCGCCATCGCATGACTTGTTTTCACACATCTGCAAGTGCCTGTGGTGACTGTCCTTATACTAATGATTCTTGCATCATGCAGATATGGAAGCAATTTTACTACTGTTAAAGCACATTTTAAAATACTTTCCAGCCAGGTGGTTGTAGTGCAGGCAGGAGGCAGAGGCAGGTGGATTGATATGAGTTTAAGGCAGCCTGGACTACAGAGTGAGTTCCAGGATAGGCTCCAAAGCTACACAGAGAAACCCTGTCTCAAAAAAACAAAACAAAAACAAAAACAAACAACATCAAAAAATCCTTTCCAATAAAACACAGAAATACATACCTTCTACCCCCCATACATCTTCAGAAACAGCTGTAAGCATGACACATATTACAAAGTGAACATGTAATGTGGACCTTTTTATTGTTTAATCTATAGGAGAAAGCAGGTTGCACTCTGAAAATGTTAATCTTGGGGAGTCATAAAATGTACAGAAATGAAGCTGGCCATAATCACAAAAGCCTGGAGTGCCTTGGGGTTACACTGAAGACAAAGGCAGGGGGATTGCTGCAAGTTTCAGGCCAGCCAATGCCACATGCTGAAACTTTCTCTCAAAAAAAAAAAAAACCAAAATGAATAAGGACAAAAATAAGGAGGAAAGACACTCATGATGAAAAATATCTATATGTGAAGATAAAGGGCGAAATAAAATTAAAACTATTCATAATTTCATACATACTGGTGGATATGCCTATTTCTGTTACTTTTTGGATATTTTGCTCAAGATTTCAGGTGTCTTCTAACATTTTTTTTTAAACTTACCTCATTTTTATGTATATGCTGGTATCTTCAGAGGCCATCACATCCCCTGAAGCTGGGGTTACAGGTAGTTGTGAGCCACTTGACTTGGTTAACTTAGTTGTTTGGAAGTGAATTAAGGTCTGGAAGAGCAGGAAGTCCTCTGAACCATGGAGCCATCTCTCCAGCCCTCAGAATGTCTTTAAGAGCCCCAGGAACACGTGTTGCTAAAAATCGAAATGATTGCTCTTGTCACATAAGTTGACCATACATGGGAATTTTCTAGGATAGCAAAATTAAATGAAAATGAGTAGTAACTCCCCTAATTATATCCACTATCACTAATTCAACAAGCACTTTACTAAGCAGCTACCATTGGTGATGCTCTTAGCAAGACCGTAAATAAAATAAAATTAAAACAAACAGACAGATGACCTCTCACTTGAAACAGACAACGTGAGAACTAAAGAAGCCATTTTTCAAAATAAATACATTTTTATAGTATTATTGTTATTTCTTTAAATTTGTAGTGATTTCATGACCTAATGGGCTGGGGAGTTGGCTTCATAGGTAAAATGTTTGCTGAGCAAGCATAAGGACCTGAATTCAGATTCACAGAACCCATACACTGGGATAGGGCAAAGGCTCCCAATCTCTGGAGCTAACTACCCAGCCAGTCTAATCAAAATGGTAAACTCCAGGTTCAGTGAGAGACATTGTCTCAAAACCTAAAGTAGAGAGCAATAGAAGAAGATAGCTGATGTCAACATCTAGCCTACACACACACACACACACACACACACACACACACACACACACACACATACACACACTATATGTACATACATATATAGATATATACATACACATAGATAGATAGATGATAGATAGATAGATAGATAGATAGATAGATAGATAGATAGATATGAAACAATATACCATGCATGTTTTCTTCATCAAAATACTAACAAAAGTTGAGTTTTCCTATAATTTATTTAATCAATCCCATTTCTCCCCCAGATTTCTATATGAATATTCCAGTAATTATGGACAAGCTCCTCTGCCACTTTTAGTCGGCTACACCAAGAGTTATCTCTCTATGGTTGGATCCTGCTGTACTTCTCCAAGCCCAACTGTATGCTTTTTGAAAGAGGTAGGCTCCATTTACTTATAACAGTTATATATTATTTTTCCATCCTAAACTGGCATTTCTGTTCAATAATGGGAGAAGTTGGGATTTTGTAATTAGCAAAAGTCTTTAAATAACTTCATTGCATTTTGTTAAGTAGAAAATATTCATGCCATTAAGGAGATATCAATAAATTATGGTGCTAGGGTTCAGCATTATATTGATTTTAAAACATCAAACAACTAAAACACCCCTTTCTGTGAATTATTCATACTATATTTCATTGGTTTTCATTATCTAATATAATTCTCTCTGTTATTTTCTAGAGACTCCAGATTAAACAGTCATCACTTCTCACCAGTCTGTCGAATAGACTCTGTTCACAATATGCTGCATATGGAAGGGAGAAAACAAGGCTTAGGTAAAGACTCCATACCATCTTCATGGTTAGAAATTCGCTCCTCCACTCTGTACTCTGTAAGCCTGTGAAAGATGCTGTAGAATACAGCTCGCTAAAGAACCACACAAACACTCTGTGGCACTTTCTCTAGTCTTGTCTTCATTCTTCTTTCACACTGAGAAAGTATGTTTTGCAAGTGTCACATATGTAGTCATAATACAGAGCCATCGTATATATTCCTTAGTTAACCTTGGCTTATACTAGCATTAGAGTTCAGGAATTTACTCTAAGGGATTAGCATTTGATGTGAACAAAGATTAAGTTTTAAAATATTGCTGCCATATTTTTAATAAGGAAAATTCAGATGATCTCTAAATGTTTCTAGAATGGAAAATATCTCAACTATAGTATACAAACATAAAAATATATCAGTGCTTCAAAATTATACTGTAAAAGCATGCTCAATGAAAAGTATAATACATTGCTCAAATAAGTCAAAGATGATACCATAAGTGGAAAGGAACTCTCTGCTTGTGGTTTCAAGACTTAAAACTATGAAAATGCCATACTAGCCAAGTGACGTGATGCATACCTATAATGCCAGCACTTGGGAGGCTGAAACAAAACGGTAGTCATAAGTTTTCTGTGGAATAATCCTTCTGTTCACTGTGAATATATATTACTCTCATTGGTTAATAAAGAACTGATTGGCCAGTAGCCATGCAGGAAGTATAGATGGGACAGCCAAACTGAATGATGAGAGGAAGAAGGGTGGAATCAAAGGAAATGCCAGCAGACATAGAGGAAGCAGGATGTGTAAAAAAATGAAGTAATAAGCTGTGATCCATATGGCAGAGGGTAAATAAGAAATACAGGTTAATTTAAAGTGGAAGAGCTGGCTAGTAACAAGCCTGAGTTATTGGCTGAGCATTTGTAATTCGTATTAAGTCTCCGTGTTGGTTAGTTGGAACTGGAAGGCAGGAAAGAAACATCTGCCTACAAGTTCAAGGCTAACCTAGGCTACATAGTGAGTTCCAGGCTAGTCTAGGCTACATAGCAAGACCCTGTCTCAAACAATAAATTAGTAAATATTAAAAATAATAAATGAAAAAAAATGTTGTACTATTTAAATCCATGTGTGTAGTCAATCCAAGTTCTTAAAGCCATAATGGCATTTTTTTTTAACGAAAAAGTCTTTGTTAATCAGCTTTTCATTACTGTAACAAATACCTAAGCTAATCAACCTACACACAGTACGAGTTTTAAGGTTCCAGTCCACAGTAAGTCAGCCCCATTGTCTTGGCCTCTGGTGGCATATTGATTGGAAGCACATGATAGTGCAAACCACTCAGCTCTTAGTTGGAGAAAATGGCAAGAAAAGGTGGAGGATGTTCTACTATGCCCCTTGGCAGTCAATTCCCAATGACCCAAAGACTTCACAAGAAGACCCATCTCTCAAGGCTTCCAGCACCTTCCAGCAGCATCACCTGAATTCAAACAATTGCCATATGGCGGACATTCGAGCTCCAAACTTCATTGCCATCCAGAAATGAATAAGTTATCATAAGGGAACATCAAAGGACTCTAGATAGACAAAATACTTTTGAAAAACAAAACAAAACAACAACAGTGAGGCTTAAAATAACTACCACGCAACAATAATCAAGTTAGTGTGATACTAACACAAAAAGCAATGTATAGATCCCTGAGCAGAATAGAAGATCTAGATCAAACTAGTATATTTTGTCAAATGATTTTCAACAGAGGTGCTAAAAGTATACAACACAGCAAAGGCAATTTCTCTGACAGTGTTGAGAAACTAGACAGCTACAGTCAAAAGAATGAAGCTTTACCCTTACCTCGCACCATTAAAATTTTACTTAAACTCATATAAGAAAGCGGCAGACATCTTCAAGGCATTGGTTTTGACAATGATTCCTTAGATATGATTCTCAAACAGAAGAAAAGCAAAAACAAAAATAACTGCATCAAACTTTATACTTCTATCTAAAGGATATAATCAGCAAGGGAAGAGGCAACAAGGGAAAACACTGGCAAACTATGACTATTAAGGAGGTAATGTTCAGGATACATAAAACATTCTATAACTCAGTGACAAAAGTGCTGAATTAAAAGTGATTTTATAAGACATTTTAAAAGATAGTGAGATGCCACATTAACATCATGGACTGCCTTCAGTCCAACGTGTGTGAAGATCTGGCTGAAAGAGAAGCTATGTCTCAGTGCTGAATAGTTAAAAACCTTCACTGGGGATGGTTTAATCTTGAGAATGGTAACTTTACTATATAGCACAGATCACATGGCTGGTGTGCTCCATTCATCTCAGTAGCATGTCTGTAATGAAAACTAGAAAGCTAAGAACATGGGTTAACTAACAAATTCATTTTTAACTATCTAGCCATCTCATAAAACTAGCCCAAAAAGTGCCAACTGCTAGCCTGGGGGATGTAATGCCACTAGCTGAAGAACTTACTCAAGTCCTGTCCAGATGTTGTGAGTCTACCTCAGAGGACTGCATGGCCAGAGAGGTAAGGCAGTCCATGTGATCATGTGATGTACTGAGTACTGTGAACTGACTGCCAGTTTTCTCAGTGGCTTTTCATGTACATTATTCAGCATCCTCACATGCATTTATGAAATATAAATACATTCTTAAGTATGACTCACAGATGAGGGGGTCGGTAATTTGAAACCACACAAACAGTGACAAAAATTCACAGGCATACAAGGACAAGATTCCCAGATTCCCAAGCCCTGTACTGTGCAGAGTATCCATTACCCTCACATGGTTATTTAAATTTAATTATAGTTTTCAGTATTGTATTTAAATTGAACACAATTTAAAATTCATCTATGGCATAAAGTCTTATTAGTGCTGACACTATCCAAGCCTGGTAATGTTTCTATACTTTGTACAATTTGGTAAGCATATCAATTTTTTTTCTACTTTCTCGATTTGCATAATTTTCTCAAGTTGATACAGATTCGGGTAATTACATTAGATGAAGATCAGTCTCCATATTTAGCATAGATGCATTGTGCTGTGTGTTCTTTCCATTGCAAACAAACAACTGTATGCATAGCTGCTTTGCTATGGTTTGCTATGATACATGATGTCCACTAGGACTTCACTGGATTATCAACTGTATATATTACATCATCTCTCCAGGTGCTTCATATCTTTAACTAATCTTCAATTATTGCATTTGTGCTGGCTTTTCAGCATTTTAAGCAATGACATGCTGTATAGCACTATAGCTAAGTATCCTCTTTGTCCTAATTACTTCAAGCATAAACTATTCTGTTTGTTTTTGTTACCATAAAGTACCCAGATTCAATATGGAATTTTCATAAACATTCTCTCTCTCTCAGAAGTGAACTTGGACTTTATGTGATAAACTTTCATGTATTAACGAACTCCCTTCCCAAGTATCGTATTCATTTGTTTTCTAAGAGCATTCTCACTGGCATTTATAAATATACCAGGGCTTGAAAGCCTATGTTTTATTTTTAGTGAGACCAACAAGAAGAACACTAACTCCGCCATTCTCTTTGTAGCTGCTTGAACACACATCAAATATATGTGGCAGCCCGTTCATAAAGAATTCTAGGTTTGAAGAGTGCTGTCAAGAAAAAACACCCATGGACACTTTTATGTGCACTTACTTCATGCCAGCTGCTGAGCCACTTCAATTGCCAGCCATCAAGTTGCCCACAAAGACAGACCTGTGTGGTCAGAGTACCACCCAAGCCATGGACCAGTAAGTAGAGCAGTGTGTGGTGTGTTTCTGCCTCCACAGGGGACCAGACTGTGGGAAAGCAAGCTGTGCCTCTTTGCAAACACAAATCTCTTTATATGGCATCATCTATGGAGCTTAAGCATTTGTTAACTGATTTTAAAAGGCTACAAGTCTTTTAACTTGGATGAGGAAGAAGGAGCCTGTGGTTCCTAAGTCCACCTCTTGACATTAGTGTGCACTGGCAGAAGGAGCTTGGCCTTTCTGACTTAGAGTTCTCTTTAGCTGGCTTGAGAATGACAACATTGCTTTACTTAGTGCAGAGGCAGCCAGTAAGAAACACATCTAGAAATGTAGGTCAACATAAGTGTTGTATACAATAAAATGCTCCATACACATAATACGTATCATGGCAACATAAATATGTATCATGTCATTGCCCAGTTTGACCATATTCTATTCCAATTCCACCCCCCCCCTCTCTCTCTCTCACACACACACCAACTAAAAGTTTATTAAGCTTCTGGAGAATAATCATTTGATAATAAGTAAAACATCAAATTTAGAATGTTCTTTCCTTAACAGTATTGAAATTAACTGCTACTTAATAAGAGATTAAATAGAAATAGTGAGACTTGATCTTGTTTTACCTAACTAAAGAGAATCAACACATATACAGTATGTTATATATACTAAGAGTATCTTCACACTTATAGCATAAAAATAATTTACAGCTTGGAAAAATGGTTAGAATGTCAGTTGCCTATATAAGAAAGAAGAGTTTAGACAAAACTAAAACTAATGTGCATTCTTCCTATGAATACTACTTGATTTGATAAGTTCATGAACAATAGTTAGATAAGACAGAGTGGGAAGACTGTGTACATTTTTGTACAGAACACTTGCTTTGAAGTACCCAGCTAACATTAGCTGCAGGGAGAATTGTATTATACTCTCACAAAGAACATGCCCATATGAGCATAAAGGAACATGGTATGTTTATATATGTCCTGTTGTATATATAGTATATTACAGTTATTAAACCCAGCATTAATAAAATGTTTTTTTTTATGAAAATGTCATCTAATCTAAAGTCAGTTTACAGGGAGTTGGTTTGTGTTAAATCCTTTTTAAATTAAGTTAAACAACAGTAAACAAAATATAACTCAGCAGGTTATATTTATTCACATGCACACACAACATATATGTTACAATAATAATTACAGAAAAAACGTGCCATGAATTTGAGAAAAATTAAGAGAGACATGAGAGGGGTTTTAGGAATGAGAAGGAAGGGGAAAGGATGTAATTATATTTTAAATAAAATTAAAATAAATGAACAAAAACCCAAAAGTCAGGCATGCCAGTCCATGCCTGTCACCCCAGCACTAGGGAGACTGCGGCAGGAAGTGCAGAAGGGGGGTCCTAGGATGAAGGACCCACTCCACTGTGAGTTACAGCATGAACTGGGCTGCAGAGCAGGGCTGTCTCAGAGAAAACAACACGACAATCAGAAACAAGATGTCCGCACTGCCTCGGTAGATGGGTGGAATAGTAGTAGATAGAAGATAGGTCCCATCTCCCATTCTGAACTCCAGACGCACCTTGAAAAGCATCTTCTCCGTTTCTGTTTGACACCAGGTATACATTTGAACTAAGCAGAAGGACCCGCGTTCCAGAAGTATTCCTCAGCAAAGTGCTGGAGACCACGCTGAAATCCCTTAGTGAATGCTGTGAGGCACAGGACTCTGCCGCCTGTTTCAGCACTCAGGTACATATCCCCAAGTTTCCTTATCAACAGTGTAGGCCAAAACTGCAGACTGAAGCTTAGGGATCAAACCTGGCAATCTTGCCCTGCAAGCTAGCAATCAAAATGTGGTTTATGGCATTTTTTTACTTACTAAGGAAAAAGGTCAAAAGAAGACTGATATTTCATTGTGTGGGAATTAAATAAAATTAAAATTGCCGTGGCCATTGAGTTGCATTGGAGCAGCACAATTAGGCTGTTTGCCCATTGCCTGTTATCACTGCTATTTAGGGTGGAATATCCATAATAGAGATCATATATGACCTACAAAACTGAAAATATTTATTAACTGGCTTTATGCAAAAAAAAAAAAAAAAGTTTGCTGATACCTGGTGCAGGGACATGGAAATCCGATCTAATGGCCTCACCTGGACAGTGTTCCCGTGCAAAGAATGTTGATGTGCAATTTTTTTTTTTTTACAGAGTCCCCTACTGAAGAAGCAACTAACTTCTTTCATTGAAAGGGGACAGGAAATGTGTGCAGATTATTCTGAGAACACATTTACTGAGTACAAGAAAAAGTAAGTGGCTGGTTTCGTGGCTTCACCCTCCAAATGTGTCTGTCCTGCTTGTCTAATTCTGTGACTGAAAAGTACAAGTGAAAATTTAGGACGTACTGAGTGAAAGATAAAGAAAGGTTACAATGTTAAAAGTTTTAAAAGGTCATCAGAATTCTTTTCTGGAGTCCAGGGTATGCTATGGGCATTAGGTAAGTGACCAATTAAAACACAGCCACAAGAATATAAATTATAAGTGATCTGAGGGGACTTGACTCCAAATGGAGGCACAAACATATAGATGGTCAATATTCAGGACCCTGGAGTTACCTGCCAATGTTTGTGATCCAATAAGAACCAAGCTTTCATGCTGACCCGATATCAACCATCGCCAGCCTGTGATCCTTATAAACTGGAAGTAACAATGCTAATTATCACAACATGGTACAATAGTTATTTTCTCAATTAAATGGGAGAGGAAGCATTTCATTAAGTAGAAATTAACAATAAAATAATTGGCCATAATAATAATAATAGACATGGTGTTGGGTTCTTAGGGGAAAAAATCTCTAAAAAGATTGTGCTGTTTTCTACTTTAATAAGTTTCCATTTTAAATCAGTTGGAATCCAGGTCTCAAGTAAACACACAGATTCATAAAAACATTTTCTTAAAGAACCCCAGAATAGGACATCTCCTCAGTGACCTCCATAAAGTCCTCCTTAGCATGTGAAAGTCTTACGCTTGGAAGTGTTTTCACACCCTTTGGCCCTTATTGCTCACTACTGGTCTAGGCATGTATTTCTTGGAGAAAGTAATAAGCCAAGCTAAGTTGGCCACACTGAAAGTGAAGGGACACCAAGATCATAGGTGGTACAAGCTGGAAAACAGTGAGAGACTTTCTCAAGTCCTATCACCATCTTGAAAACAAGTAAGTGAAACCCCTGGGAACAAGGGCCAAAGGACCCCACTCCCGTTTCGGTGCATCTGAATAGTGAGTTCCAAAGGCGACAAACTGAGGAGCAAGAGAAAGCATAAAACTGAAGTCAAGTCCTGTGAAGGATACCTTTTAAAGCAACTTGAAATTTAACATTGGAGAAAGGTGAAAAGCCAGGGGAAATAGAAAAAGGCATCACTTTTGAGATAATGAGCTACTTCAAAAGAGAGACAATTGGCTTTCAAATTCAGTGGTCATTTCTATACATGCTTGCATGAATTTGAACGAGTTATAGATTTCAATTCTAACCTCAACACGCTCACCGAAACTCCATTCTACAAATAAGGTTCCCCAAGACAGGCAAGTATTTCTATTTCCATTGTACATGATCCGAAATAGCTGTCGTGGTGCTTAAGCAAAGACCCTGCAATCCCTCCAGCGAAACCTCACAGAGAACTGTTTTCTCAGACTGGCGGAGCGACTGAGGACAAAAACACCCAACGCCTCTCCAGGGGAGCTGGAGGACATGATGGGCAAGCGCTCAGACTTCGCCTCCAAGTGCTGCTCCATCAACTCACCTCCTCTCTACTGCAGCTCACAGGTAGGAAAGCCTCGCTCGCCTCTGTTTCTCAGGACAAGAGTGTTCCAGGACTCCAGAGCTTCGTCCCTGTTCTGGATGCTCCTGAAGTGTGTTCAGGTGAAAGGCGCTCCCGGAGTGGTGGTGACCTTGCTAGTGGTCTCAGTAAGGAAAGTAAGAAAAATAGTTTCCAGGTTTTACGCAATCTATAGGTTCGAACCCACAACGGGTTCTAAAAATCAAAGTAGGGAGTAACAGTAATCAGAGTCCAATTTACATGGAGCACATGCTACTTTATAGCATTTTGTTTCATGCATATATATGTGTGAGTGTAAATAATACATACACAGGCATACAGGCAGGTAGACTGTTAAATAGAAATACTTGTAGAGAAATTATATCAGCCCATTTCTTGTATTTTAACTATAAAGTGCTCCATTTAATTTGTTTTAGTATAATAAGAAAATGGCCACATAAGTGTTTATTTACCATGAGACTTATTTTATGAAGAAATATTTTTAATTAAAAATTAAAATGGTAATCATTTTTAAATATTATCCTTTCTTTTAGGCACTAGCAGTTGGCTCTCATTCTTCCCTATTCACTACTACAAAGATGTCTTGGTTTTCTCCTGTAGGCCACAGTGGGAAGCTATACTGTGTTTTCTCTCTCTCTCTCTCTCTCTCTCTCTCTCTCTCTCTCTCTCTCTCTCTCTCTCTCTCTCTCTCGACGTGAGAGAAGGGAGCCCAATTCAGCTGTGTTGCTTCAATAATGTTAGTCCTGAGCTTCACTGACTTCCGAGATATTGAATGATTATATTGGCATCTCAATCGATCAGTACTAGCCCTAACCCACCAGAAGATACGTGTTGGTCACTGTCAGAACACAGGGATTCCATTTGTTTACATTTCTCATTGTCTCTATTACTCTCCAACAATCATTTAAGGCATTTAGAAGAGACCAAAGGTCAGATCAACACTTTGCCTTGATTGAAGGTATGATAGTTCTGAGATGTTTGATATCCCCACTCCATTTCTGGACCTTGGTGAGAATAATTCAGCAATACACATCTGCCTCACAGAGTCAGAAAACTGCTGCTATTGATGGAGTTGTTCACTAGAATCCAGCTAACAGAAACAGATGCCAACAGCCAAGTAGGAGCTAGGCTGACAGTTTCAGTGATGTGCTTCCCACCTGTTCTTTCCCAGTGCATACTCTCCATGGCATACCCACCTTAGGTTAGTATGTTCCTCAGTAAAGACTTTATGGTATGTTAAACAGAATCAATAGCTCTCTGCAGAAACATTTATAGAATAACCTAAAGCAACCATATACATTAAAATCCATGTTACAGATGGATAAGATGAAACAGGTCCTAAACTGTTCTGGAAAGCAATGTTTGTTCTTATTAGCTTCCTGCTTCTTTTCTTCCAGCCATTGTCATAGATTCTAGCTCCAATTTAGCCAGTCATGACAAAAGCCAAATCTCGAAGCCAGAAAATTGTTACTGACTGAAAACCCAAACTTACTATTGTTAAAATATTAATAGCAAGAACTATTGCTATTGTTGGTAGTATTCACTCTGACTTCCATCTAATCCTTTACCTTGAGTCAGCCCCTATCTCCTTTTTGCTAGATCTTCCCAATTTATACTAGAGTTGTTTTTCCTTGTGACAAAACTAATAAATGTGATACTTTAAATACTTCTTAGAGTTTTCTTTCTCCCTTTTCTTATTATTTTCTTGGCCAACAGTATGTCCTCTGATTCCCTGTACCTTCTCTGAATTACTCAACTCTTATGTCAGAACTATTGCTGTAACTGTGTTGGTAGTGATATGGTACCACCAGAAGCTAGACCACGCCACTAACAAGGCAGTTATACACACTTCTTGCTAACCTTGACAAACATCCTTCAGTTCTCATCAGCATCCTCTGTGAAACATGTGGTACCCACAACTATTTCTTCCTCTTTGAAGCAATGTACTGTGTGTGTGCTCATGTGTGCATGCATATGTGCTCTGGTGTCCCTGTGGGTGAGTGTGCATTTTGATTAGGCTATACTGCCTGGCTAACAAGTTCCATCTACATCTCCCTCCCATATACACTACACCACCACATCCAGCTTTGTATGCAGGGTCTAGGACTCAAACTCAAGTCCTCGTACTGATGTGGCAAGCACTTTACTCCCTGAGCTGTCTTCCCAGCCCTTAATACACTTTCTATGGTATCCATGTTACCATTTTCTACCTTTGGTCTATGACCTTCCTTTCTTGTTCTATTTTATATTTTCTTCATCCTCTACTTACTCCTTAAATTTCCATTTTGCACAGTTTGTCTTTGATTGTCAAGTCCATGATACAACATTTTCCTAAGTGTTCTCCTCTCTGTGAGTGCTGTTAGTGTCTAAACAGCCACCTCTAGCCAATATCTTGCCTCTCTGCACCAAGCTCTCTATACAACCATTTATGGTGATCTCTTCTCATCACATGATTGCTTATAGCACAATAAACTCATACCCAGCATAACCAAAACCCAAAATCCTCCTATCTAAAGCCTTCTGTGTTTCACAAACTGATGATTCATATCAGAATCATTTACCCATTGTCTCCAAATGAAAATTTAGTGATACTTAACTCCTCATCTTTTTCTACATATACCAAATCAAATCCTGAGTCCTGCCACCTCTGCCTTCTAAATATTCCCCAGTCCCCATCCTATATTTTTCAACATTCTTGTCCTAGTTTCCTGTAGTCTGTCCCCTGGATTATACCTTCACAGCTGGCATCACAAATCCAGTCTGATTTCATTGCCTCACACAATCCCATCTCTATGCTGACATCACAATAAACTATATAAAAAAAACAAGGCTAATATATTCATCCAGTGGTGCTTCCTTGTTTCCATATCAAAGTCTGATTTTATTTCCTTTTATTCTTACAACCAAGAGATTTTTATCCTTGATTTTCTCTGCAGTCAGACCTCCTATGACTATTTCTGTGCCTCTGTGAAACTCTCCTGAACTACTTTCAATCTTTCAAACATTAAACTTGTTCTTCCCTTACCCCACTGTGTGCAGATAATGACTAACCCCAATTGCTGCTTCTTCCACCAGCCTTTAAGGTTAAGAATAGAATCAGCACCTCTAGGACTCCATGTGCACAAAGCAAGCTCCTGTGTTATCTGTTCTGTGCACTCACTAATCATCACTTCTTAAATTCTATTGTTCTTAAATTCTATAATGAAAAACTTGTATTATCATTATAATCTTATCCCTTGACAAGTGCAAATGCTGTGCACTGCTGGGGGATGTCTTTCTGTATGCTGTGAATATATATTGTTCCTATTGGTTAATAATAAAAATAAATAAGCTGCATTGGCCTATGGAAAGGCAGCTTAGAGGCAGGCAGGAAATCCAAGGAGAGAGACAAGAAAGAAAAAGGCAGAGTCTAGAGAGACATCAGCACCACCAGGAGAAGCAAGATATGAAAGTACCAGTAAGCCACAGCCACATGGCAACTTATAGATAAATAGAAATGGGTTAAATTATAAGAGCTAGCTAGCAAGAAGCCTGCCATAGGCCATACAGTTTGTAAATGCTATAAGCCTCTGTATGTTTACTTGGGTCCAACTGGCTGCAGACCTAGGGTGACAGAGATTTGTCTGGACCACAAGGCAGGACAGGTGGGACCAGAGAAACCCTCTGACTACAGTGTATCTTCCACATGATCTATCCTACAAATAAAGTGCTTGATAAATTACAGAACATTCTTTTTCATCATCAGATTGATGCTGAAATGAGAGACATCCTGCAGTCCTGATGCAGTGCATATGTACTGTCTTGGGTAAGTAATTTAAAACATGTCATCAAGGAATCTAGAATTTTATCACATGTTTTATAAATCATAGAATAGGATGCAAACTTTACCCTACTTATCTATTCTATTTATTATCTATCCCAATTCATTTTTCGGTTGAGCATAGTAAACCTTGAGGAAAGCTTCAGTGCTTACAGAAGTACACAGATAACTTCTGACATATTTAAGAATAATTCCAGATTCTCAGATACCCAGCCTCATACTTCATCTATCATAATGCCATTATCTAGGATAATGATACCATAAATGTCAAGGAAGGGATCCTGGTGCACATCAAGAGGAAAAACAGTTTAAAGATAAGGCTGTCAAGTATTAAAATTCTCAGCAGAGTTCTGGAGCTCAGCACCACTTGCTTCCTTCAGATATTATGCTTTCAGTCATTTAAAACTGACCAAAAAATATTTAGACTGTAAAACTCTAATTGTACCTAACCCACACTTTAAACTGAAGGTGATCTCAACTCTATGCACTTCAACAAAAGTTTTTTTTTTTCAGTTCAATTGTATTCATTAAACTAATACACCTGAGATTTTTAAATGTTGTAAACAATGATTTTTGACTTGTGTTAGTCAGGCTTTTTATGAAGTTGGGCAAAGAAACTCATTGCTAGAACCATCTAATCTAAATTAAAATCCCCACTCCATTTATCTGCCTTTGCCAGCTTGAAACAATTGATCCATATTCCATACATCTCACATTTCATTCTTTATAAATGAAAATTTAAGTATCTACTTCAGAGTTAGTGTCTATTAAACATAATAAAGTAAATATCAGCAGGGATGCTAGCAAGAGCGTTCATTGCCCCTGCTGCTTCTATTCCTAAAATTCAAAATCCAGACAAACAGCAAAGTCAGTTCTCTACCTTCTGAAGAATAGAACTCAAAATACAAGTTATTCATGCTGTGTGTGTTATAGAATTAAAACAGTATCTGGACCATTGCTGATACATTATCTACACCCCCTTTTAAATGAACTCAGTTTCCCTTCATCACAAACCATACGCGAGAATTCCTATAGACTGAAAATTCAAGTACATTATGGCTACTTCACAAGCCACCCTTCAAGGCATCTGAAGCTTTAATTAAGAATCAAGGTTGTTTAGAAAGCCTTCTGATCATTTCAGTTTAAATCTGTTTTCACCAAACTGTTTTTTCTCCAGTAACTCAGAGCACATTTTCTCAAAGTTTTAGGAAGATAGATTTAGCTTCTCAGAGGACACATAAAAACAGGAGAAAATATCCATCTAGGAAAGCAACGTAGGGTGTATGAGATGGTTCAGCATGTAAAGGTCCTTGTTATTAAAACTGATGAGCCCTGTTGATCCCCCGGCCCAACATGGTGTTCTCCTACCAGTTGACCTTCACTCAAATACATCATGGCCCATGAGCTCACCATATACACAAAATAAATAAGTATATTTTGAACAGAAAACAAAGTAAAAAACATGAAACTAATTATATTTAAAGAGATTTCCTTTTAACCTAACAGCTTTCAGGAATATTTTAATGTTAACTAAATAAAGGGATAAACTCAATTTTAACATAGTAATACATCAATGAAAATTCCAAAATACTCATTATTCTAGTTAATAGTCATTATTTTTATCTTCTATAGATATTTTGTGCCATTTTCCCTCAATTAGTATTTTTCTTTAACCTTTAAATAATCTTTAAATTTCTGTACTATCATTATTTGACCATTGGAATGCATTTTGATCACCTGAATAAAAACTCAAAAATCACTTACACCTTTCTTCTGTAAATTTCTACAAAATGCATTGAGCGTTTCTAAACCAATTTTAGCCATGTCTTGCTGGTCATAAACACAATCTGGGATAAAGAGCTACTAATGATCAATTGTATCAAGATGGTTTTGTGGCTCTGAGAAAGAATTACACCTTATTCACAAGGTTATAGGACTGAGGTGTCATGTCCAGAATATGATACTACATCCTAAACTTTCCTACTAATTTTCATACAACACCCAGTACACTGTGATGCTTGGGCTCTAGGAAAAATTCTGTGGTACTATGGAATAACTCTGGAGGCATTCATTCCACTAACAGGAAACTGCCCTGAGATGACTGAGTCCTGAGATGGACACTCTGTACCCAGTTTTGCAGTCAGTGATACCAGGAGAAATGTTGAGTATTTCCCCCTAAACAAGCCAGTCTTTTCATCACATCTTAAATTGGAAGATACTCGGTGGTTTATTTTTTTTTTTCTCAGCGATTCTGACACCCTAACACTGTTAAGGTAACTTTGACTGGGCATGTAACACTTTTTCAATGAAAACCCACTAGTGCCTAGTGCTCGAGTTTGACTAGAAGCTGAAATAGTTTCTCTCTACTTGTTCTCATCCCTAGTTACACCTCTGATACAGTCAACAGACATCTATTTCCTGCTTCAAAACTGTTATCATAACTGGAGTGCGCATCTTGACATTTACTTTCTTAGGCAAGCCTTCAGGGCCCCAAAGTAATTCTCTATTGAGGAGGGAAGAAGTTTTTCAATCTTATAAAACAAGGCATTTTTTTTTTCTGGAGGAAATTAGAGTTCCCTGGACTGCCAAGATAAAAGAGTTCTTTTACCTTGTAGGTGAAAAATATTCTAGATACCAGAATCACACCTTGCACAGACTACTCACAGTGTGACAGAAACGTAAGAAATGACATTAAGAGCATGTTCATAACTTCTGTCACATCCTCTCTCCAAGGTATAACCTCAGTGAATAAAGTAGCAGATGAAGATTTTCTTCCTGCTGTCTTAGAAAAGAAAAAGAACAAGGGCAAATGAATTTTGCTGTAATACAAACAAGATTTTTATGTAAATACACACACACACACACACACACACACACACACACACACACAAATAAACAAGCAAACAAAAACCAACAACAGCAGCAACAAAATGACCAAACCCAGAAAAAGACCCATCTCATGCTCAACAATGTCTTACTGAAGTAAAAACCACGGAACTGCTCTCTCAATTCCATGACCAGGGGCATTAGAATTCAGCTTCCCGCAATTTTAACAAAATACCCGAAATCATCAACTTATTTTTAAAAAAAAGGGTGATTTCATCTCACTGTCTGAGGTCTCCCATTGCTTTTCGGCCTTTGTGCAGATGGCAGATGGCAGTGGTGGGGAACATGTGGCACAGAGAACTGCTAACCTCATTGTTAGGAATCAAAGGGAGAGAAAGGAAGAGGCAGGGCCTAGTATCCCATCGTCCTCTTTGAGAACACCTATCCTCAATGACCTAAGGACCTCCTACTGCACTCCACTCTCCAAGGGTCCATCTCTTCCCTTGGGACCTGTCTAGTTAAGGTGTCTATTGCTGTGATGAAATGCTGTGACCAAAATAAGTTAGTTAGGGAGGAAAGGTTTTTATTCAGCTTACACTTCCACATCATTTGTTCATCATCACGAGAAGTCAGGACAGGAACTCAAGCAGGGAAAGAATCTAGAGGCGGGAGCTGATTCAGAGGCCATGGAGGAGTGCCGTTTACTGGCTTACATGCTCCTCATGACTTGCTCTGCCTGTTTTCTTATAGCACCCAGTAACAGCCCAAGAATGGCCCCACCCACAATGGGCTGGGCCCTCCTGCATCAACCCTAATTAAGAAAATGCCCTATAGGTTTGCCTACAGCCAGATCTTATGGAGGTATTTTCTCAATGGAGGTTCTCTCCTCTCAGATAACTTTAGCTTGTGTCAAGTTGATATAAAACTAGCCAGCATAGGACTACATGACCTCTGTGGGACAGTCAGCACCCAAACCATAACCAGAGCTCTTTTATCCATTGTTTCTCTTTTGCTCTGACAGTGATTATTTCCACAGAGCAGACAGTCACACAGGCCTCACTAGGTTGTGTACGCAATAAGGATAACTTTTGCTTTGGGTATTGGGAAGTTCTTACTTGTAATCCCTCACTCCCAAAATGGACTATAAAGGATAAATGGGTCATGCTAGACAGTTTTATGTTTACCATAAACATCAAAAGAATATGGCCTTGTATGCATCTAATGTTTCTCAAATGCATCATTTATTCCCATTTTCTCACAGATCTAGAACTGGACCAGCCTGGAAAATAGCCACTGGTAGCCAAATCTGAGCCAAGCCACTGAGCTTCCAGGAAGACCACCAAGATCATTCCATTTTTCCCAGCTACAATGTTTGTGATGAAGTATAAAAAAAATAAACAAATAAATTGAAATATAGTGCAAAGCCTAAGTACACTGGAGAGTGATGCTGCTGTTCTAGCTAGCCACGGATGCTAGGCTTCTCACTAGATCTCTGCTATTTCTCTGAAACACTTCCAATATGAGCATCCACTCTGCAATCCCCAGCAGGCGCTACTCCATTCCCTGACTATTTTTTCAGACTTCATATGCACCATTAAGGAAAAGTTGTCCTTCTTGCTAACAAACAGCCTGGGATATCACACTTCTTAAAAGAAAAACAAAACACCTCCTAGGACCACCCTCTTAGGTCCAGCTATGAGCTTCAGCAGTTAGTTCTGTAGTATCTATCTGCCTTGCAGATGAAACTTCTCCTCAGCTTGAATGGAGAGGGGAAGTATGGGTTTTTTGTTTGTTGTTTGTTTGTTTTAATTTTGGTTTGGGTTTTTACCTTTGCTAATGACTCCTGAAAGCAACTTAGCAAGGTAAGTTCTAGAATATCACAAAATTTCAGCTTGCTATGTACTTACTTTCGATTTACCATGTACTTAAAATATGCATGAATTTCTATGTGTGTGCACTTTGCTCAGGGACAATAAAGGTGCCCTGATTCTTTATTCTTCCTGGAAGAAAGATGTATTTTTGGAATAACTATATCTGTGAAGCTAATAAAACCAAGGAAAACGTTCTCTAGAGTTAACTGAACTGGGAAATCTGACTTCACCTCATGGCAGATATGGTTAAACAGTAAAAGCAAAAAGTGTTCCTATGGCATATATAATCAGAATTAAGTTAAGCACAATCAACTCTGTCACTCTTCAGTGTTCTAAGTCCAGCAGGAGAACTTCATTAATCAAACCAAGCAAAGTGCCTGCACTTTTACCATGGGGATGAACCGTCTGTTCCCTGCCGCCTCTGTGGCAGAAAGCATATGGGATACAGAGGTTCCAAAATGAGAAATTGACTTCAAATGGAGTTCTTGAGAGGCCACAACATCAAAAAACCAACCAGCCATAGATAGACAACATTTCTAACATTTGAAAAATTATCTCTCACAAAAACAAAGCCTTTCTAAAGTCTCAAATATCTCCAAGTAGTAGAGCATTGATAAAATGAGAAGACAGATTCCAAAAAGAACTAGTGCTCAGCAGGGCAGTGGTGATGCACGCCTTTAATCCCAGCACTTAGGAGGCAGAGGCAGGTGCATCTCTGTGAGTTTGAGGCCAGCCTGGTCTACAGAGAAAGTTCCAGGACAGCCAGAGCTACACGGAGAAAAGCCATCTTGACAAACAAAACAAAAAAGGAACTAGAGCTCAAGGTCATAGGAAGCAAAAGGCAGGACAGACATACCTCCAATTAACATTCCGTGGAAGTTTTGTGGGCATATCTGAAGGACAGATTCTTAAATCAAATTTGTTCTGAAATTTTACCTCTCCTTTGGAGAGCCATAATTTACTCTATATAAGTCATCATTTCCCAAATTTATTTATCTACCAACCCCCTTGTGTGAATACTGCCCAGAATTATTGCTCTGTTAGTTTTCGAGAATTCGTGCCCTGTTTTCAGATGAGAAATGGTATTCACAAATCATTTATGTACGAACTACTGCAACCTGCTCCAGTTTACTCAGGTATTTTAGGCTTGATCAGATAGAACTGAGTACTGATAACCGGGTACTTTTGTCACTAAGGAGTCAATAAATTTAACACGGCTGACTAAAATAGTGTTTTCACTAGTTTTATTGAACTCATCTTGACTGTGCTTTGTTGGATTAAGAATCACTGAGTCAAATGTTCCATCACTTTAGTAGGAGTGTTAGGTTTCAGTCTTATGTCTGTGTTCATGCCCTTGCTGTTCCACTTCCTATGAAGCAGTCATCTTTTGGTAGGATACCCCTAAATGATGTCCAACTTAAGGGATGATTTTTCATTTTCCATCTACTGTCAACCATAGGTAATTCCAAGAGGTAGTTTGTTTTATATAAGTTCTCAATGATTTATAACTTAGTCATCAACTTTGAGTCCTCACTATATCGAAAGGAAACAAAACTCTATTGTGTTTCTAAGAATGACAAAAGTTGTACCAGGGTTCTCCTAGGAAATGACAGAGGATAGATTGGATTTAAGGTATGGGCTTATCCCATTGTGAAGCTGGTAAGTCTGCCATCCACAGGGCAGGCTGACAGTGTAGACATGGGGGGAAGGATGCCCATGTTACAGATGAGGTAGAATTCTTCCATGCATGGAAACTTGTTTCATCTCTTAAGATCTACAATTAGTTGGATGTCCATCTTCTTTAAGTTGACTGATGGTAAATGTTAATCTGACTGCAATACCTATCTATCTTCAGCTTTCACCAAATTCTCACCAAAGCCTGCTCAGTGGTTAAGAGCACTGGTTGTTCTTCCAGAAATCCTGAGCTCAATTCCCAGCAACCACATGGTGGCTCAGAACCAACTGTAATGAGATCTGGTGCCCTCTTCTGGCCTGCAGGCAAACATGCAGGCAGAACACTGTATACATAATAAATAATACATTAAAAAAAAATTCCACTAGTGTACAAGCTCTCTACTGCTGTCCTTTGTACAGTTTAGTCTTTTACACTGTAGTAGTCAGTCACAATGCTTTCTGGATACTTAGGTCATCACATAGATGGCTCTTACACATGACCCTAATGGTCTTAAACGCAAGGATTAGTTTATTATTATCACATGATGAAATTCTTCAGAAGCAAGGTTCCCTATTCTGGAGATTTAGATTTTGAAACATGAGAAAAGCTTTTATGTCATTTAATTCAAGGACGATAACCCCAAGTAACACAAGAATTTTATCAGATTTGACATTTATCAGTTTCCATTGGGGTAGAGATAGCTAGAAGGAAACAAGGGTTTGGAAAAGAAGGGTCTGGAAGGCTGTTTGTTAAGTCTCTGGACCCTTTACAGAGCCCTGCCTCACATTAGAATCATGTGGAGAATTGTACAGAAATACAAAATATCCTCTCCCAAGCATCACCTCCGAGATTAAGATTTGATCACTGTGCCACCATCATCCCTGAGAACAGCCAATTCATGGTTCTCATCTGTTGGCTAAGTGGCTGATACCACTGCAGCAAGGGTGAACTGATAGGGCTGCATTATCTGTAGCTGCCACTGCATTTTTAATATTTTTTCCTTAGTGACAGGGTGACAATTTCACCTTCCACTAAGTATTCCCAATCGTGGGTAATCAAATAAAAATATTTTCTGTTCCAAAGACTGTGTCATTCTTGTTTATTTCTTCCAAGATTTGAAAAATGCCTTTTCCTATTAGAAAAGCACCTAATTACAATCTCTCTTTGCACCCATCATTCCAACAGCACTACTATTCATAACTTAAGCTTACTAGCAAGTATCTGCTACCTGGGTGGAGATTTTTATACTTTTCTAGCCTTAAGAAAGTTTTTAACGTCTAAATTAAATGCTTGGCTCCATGGTCTTCAACATCAGAAGAATGGGTTGATGTATTACACCTGTTGTATGCTGTGCTATAAAGACTCCTAACTTGCCTAGTTCAAATAAAACTCTTTGCCTCCACCCTGTGGATGACATGTCTAAATACAGCTAACTACAGAAAGGGATTCTGAAATGAGATCTTTTCCATAATTCTAAATTTTACTTATTCTTTTTTTGTTTGTTTTGTTTTGTTTTCTCGAGAGAGGGTTTCTCTGTGTAGTTTTGGAACCTGTCCTGGAACTCACTCTGTAGCCCAGGCTGGCTTCGAACTCACAGAGATCCACCTGCCTCTGCCTCCCAAGTGCTGGGATTAAAAGCGTGTGCCACCATCACCCCACTAATTTTACTTATTCTTAAAATGAGTATACAAAGTATTATGCTTGATTAATTTGTTCTGTGGGTTCTCTGCTCGCCTCTTCTCCCAGTCCCCTCAGCCTGCCTGGTTGCCTGGCTACCCTTCCACCCCTGTCAGCGCCTTTCAGCGTTTATGTCATATGTAGTCTGTTCTCCCCACTTCAATACCTCCTTTCCTCCTGACTCCATTCTTCCTAGTTTCATAACCTGCACCCATATTTATACACACACACACACACACACACACACACACACACAGTTTAGTGTTAGCTGTTTTATTAAGATCTATTTTAACATTTACATAATTATGGTGTGCATGTATATGTATATGCAACATATAACTTATATATAAATACGTTAAAAACATATCTTAATAAAACAGCCAACAGCAAATCGTTTCAAATGCACTTTTTCATAATAGTTTGCAGCTAACAGGAAAGTTCTAACGTTTATTCTCTGTGATTCATTTTAATAGTTTTTGTCAATTTAGTAGCTAGAGTTTTTCTGCCTGGCCCACAGTCAGGACAAATCTTTGTCACCCACCAGTCCCACAGCCGCTCAGACCCAACCAAGTAAACACAGAGACTTATATTGCTTACAAACTGTATGGCCGTGGCAGGCTTCTTGCTATCTGTTCTTATAGCTTAAATTAATCCATTTCCACAAATCTATACCCTGCCACACGGCTCATGGCTTACCGGCATCTTTTCATGCTGCTTGTCAGGGTGGCAGCTGGCAGTAACTCCTTCTGCCTTCCTGTTCTTTTATTTCTCCTCTCTGTTAGTCCCGCCTATACTTCCTTCCTAGCCACGGACCAGTCAGTGTTTTATTTATTGACCAATCAGAGCAACACATTTGCCATACAGACCATCCCCCAGCACAGCCAAGTGCAGACCATCTCAGACACCTGCACTCAGGCCCGTGGTCCTAATCATCCTCTATGCGGACCTGCTGGGTAAATCCACGAGGAACCCAAGAACGGGCTCCCACAGGACATACAGAACATCCCACAGCAAATTTGACCACTTTTTACACATACACCAAATGTATTCTGTTGTAGAATATTATTTTAAGGTGTGTTACATTTGTTTATGCTGTGGAACATTTGTTTAATAATGCAAAGATGTGCTGCATTCTTTTGTGTTGCATTTGTTTAACTCTGCAAAGCTATGTTACTGTGCCTAAAACACCCAATGGTCTAATAAAGA